TGAATTCTCAAACACATTCAATCTCTGGTCTTCCGTTAGAGTGATCCTGCATCACGAAAGCCATGCAGAACGTATCTACGCAGCAGACTGCTTGCTGGCACAAGGACAAAGTAGCACGTGTTCTGTATGCTATTCCCGGCACAAGGGGACCGATCACTCACCTTTCTGCATTGCTCCAGTGTCGTAGCTATTTGACCAAGTTATTAATACCCTTCACACTGCCCTCGCAACTTTTTAAAACAAACTGGGAAACGTACGCAGTTCTAACAGTTCTGAAGCGTTCGTCACATTTTTACCTCTCATCTTTACTAATGGCGCCAGTGACGTCATCAAGGAGGATTCCCCACATATTAAATTGCGTAGTGGAGGTCTAAGTGTGAACTGCCCGTTAGTTATGTCCAATTTTAACCACTAGAATGTGTTTAAATTTTAGTAAAACTCTGAAATACCAGATTTTATGAAAATCCGTTCAGTGATTCTGGAATTGTAACATACGGACAGGCAGACACGGGAAAACTAAAAGGCAGAATTTCGCCACTTGTCTGGAAGGTCAGAAAAAATGTGAAAACCTCAAGAGAGATGATGTTCCTCGAAATGCGTATTGATTCACATTACCGTTTTCCAAATCAGAGACATGAACTAATGTCAAGATAAGTGAACTGCCACGCCATATATTGTTTATTACATACGTGAAGACCCTTTTGCAGTAACAGATTATAAAACTCATTTTAACAGTAATTACTGTGAACATCATCATGTTAAATCAGAATTTCCCAGTTGGGTCTCCTCAATCAACAGTTTTTGAGACTTGCCTAATTTGAGCTATATACACTTACACCACTTCCTTCCTGAGTATGAAGACGGCTGTCTTCCAGGTTGTAATACTGTGTGGTCTGGTAGCAGTTTACCAGGGTTTCAGAGGTCCTTGCTGCCTCCATCATCAGGGCAAAGAAACATTGGTAAACTTCTACCAGAATGCAGTGCTACAACCCAGAAGTCAGCCAGCTTGGAAATGCACTAGCTAAGCAGGAAATCCCATGAGTGATGTGTAGATCTAATTCTGTCTCCCCTTTGCAGATCTGTCAGAATGCCAACTGATGCAGGTGCCAGATGCTGTGTACCATTTGATGCGCCACACAGCACTCAAGGGCTGCAATCTATCCAGCAATGTCATCACCAAGATACCACCAAAGTTTGCAGTTAAATTCTCATTGATTACAAGTTAGTTTGTCACATTACAGCAGCCATACTGGTCTGTGCAGAAAGGAGCCCTCAGTTTCACAAACATATAACTGATTGATGGTTTAGAATCAACTGACTGGTTAGGCCTGTTTTATATGTGACTAATTTAAAATAATTCTACTTTTGCTAATGACATTTCTTGCACGCATGATATAATGTTCATATCACCATGACTCATTCTTCAGAACCTCATTTATCAAATGAGGATAGACCATGTGAAGGTGAGGCCTTTTTCACTCCAAAACTGAACCCTCCTGTTTGAACTGCGTCTTGAGTCTGTGTATTGTTCGTTTAGCAGGAGCCCGCCTGGTGCCGCAATGCGTACGAAAACATGTTACAGTAACACTTGGGAAAGAAAAGAAACCCCCCCCCCCACCACACTTTGCTTTTGTTCAGCCCTCAGCCTCCCGGTGTCTGCCATCTTACAGAATGACTTGCTACAACTACATTGCTAGTCGCAGAGTGTTCTGCTGCCAACTACTGAGTTTGCCGCCAAAGTTTTAAATTTGTTTCTCATACGGTATAATTTTGAAATTAAAAACAAATGGGCAAACATTTTGTGCGCCATCCTGTACGCAGACAGGTTGACTAGCAATGCCAGGCAACTGCTGGGATGATAGAGGAAGGTTGGAGAGATTTTTGTAGAGCTTATAGAGAGGACAAACCAAACACTGATGGCATGTTAATTTGTTTTATTGTCTGCAACACGCTTTTTCTGAAAACATCATTAACAATAATGCACTTTAAATATAGCAAAAACTACGGGTTGTAACAAGAATTAACATCTCATGCATATCCAAATAAAATATAATAATTTGTCATTTTTTAAAATAAAATATAATAACTTTCAAGTATATGTCATTTATCCACACACACACATTAACCTAACCTAACCTAACCTATTTGTAAAGCGATGTGTCCCGATAACCCACAAGTACCAAAAATATTGTCTTCCCCATATTAGGCACCCACAGGTTTTTAATTTTATAAGGTTCTGTTATTTACAACAAATTCATAACAGCTGGTTATGATTTGCTTTCATGATACAACATGAGTCAACACAATTTCTGTGCCCACTTGACATATGGAACTGTCTTGATGATCAGTCATCAGAGAATAATCTCAAGCACTGTGCATTTGTATTGCCAATGCCATTCAGTGCCATAAAAATCACTGTGATTACCCTAACCTCTTCTTCCAATTTTAAACACCCCTAAAGTCCTATAATAGGCACCACAGATCCTAAACTGTATTACATACCACCTGAAGATTCAAACTTAAATGTGTTACTTGTAATAATGATGTCAAAATGAACATGCATACATAGCAACCTTTCTTTAGTAACCATATACGAGGTGCGATCAGAAAGTTTCAAGACTGTGTCAATAGAGGGCGAACCGAATGTAGTACGAGCTTCTGCCGCTAAGGGGTTGGGCCTACATTCATAGTGAATCAGTGTGCCAGCCGGCATCATCGAATTAGCATTTGTTTCTTAGTTACGGGCGTTTTGGTAGTGCATTACACCGACCCTCCTGCGATTTCAGGAATGGCGTGTGCATCAAATTTTGCCAAAGACTCGCCAAAACGGCTAAGGAAACCTATGAAATGCTAAAGCAAGCATTTGGGGAGTCCGCAATGGGTCGTGCACAAACGTTTGTGTGGCATTCACGTTTTAAAAAGGGCCGGCCGAACCTCTGTCGATGATGACGAGAGTTCTGGACGACCATCTTCGAGCACAACGCCCGAAAATGTTACGAAGATCGAAGTCGTACCATCAACGACTTGTGCGACATTGTTGGGATAGACTATGGGAGCTCCGTGTGACTTCTTCCTCTTTCCAAAGATGAAAATTCAGCTAAAGGGATGGAGATTTGAGACGATAGAAGAGATTCAGGCAGAATCGCAGATGGTGCTTGACAGGCTGACAAAGAAAGATTTCCAGGGATGCTTCCAGGCTTGGCAGCGGCGCTGGGATCGTTGTGTTTACTCCCAGGGGAACTACTTCGAGGGTGATGGATGAATTTAATACCTGAGATAAGTGTACGGGTTTTTATAGGCGCAGTCTGGAAACTTTCTGATCGCACCTCGTATTAAACTGAATTTAGTAAAATATTTTGAAGCACACTCTCCTGCTGGTACCATCTTGTTGCTGTGGGAGGGCCTAGGGGCCTAGTACCTGATGAACCAGAAGATCATTCAAGGGAAGTCTTGTCAATGATCAGCTCGCTAGGTGGAAAGAGGTGAGGGGAAGCTAAGCATAACCCAAAATGGGTGGATGTGACTCAACAGCCGTGGTGAAGGCAGTATGAGAAGACGACCCAAACAAACATCCTGCGAGCTCAGAAGCAGGGAAGTGGCAGCACTGAGCAACCTCTGTGCAGCACTTGTAATGCAGACAGAGTGAACTCTTGCCTATCAATACACCTCAAAGCAAAAGAAACAAATTAGAGGTCGGAACATGAAAGGAAGATGAAGATTATGATATTTTGAAGCATGTTGAAAATGTTGCAGTATTTTTACAGCTGCATCAGTGGCTTGAATGCTTAGTTCACCAGACAAAACTTGAGCATGTTGTTTTCTTTTAAGTGTCCTGAGTTCATCAGTGGTGGCAGACCCTCCCTCATGCAAATATTGCACATTCCCAAATTAGGAACCCTCCAGAAGTTAGGCACTCTTACTCTCTGAATGTCTACTATATTACTGATTTCTTTGTTTTGGACTTAGCCATAGTTTTAGTTGTTGTTAAGTGTTAGTAAATCTTAAAACATTACTACATTTAAAAGGATGGAGGTTCCAGAAGCAGCAGGGAGGGTTTTTACTATCTGAGCAACTGAGCTGGCAACTCAAGGACTCTACTTCATGGAGTTTGTTATTACCTGCTACAAACAGATCCTTCAGTGAATTTCATATTTTAATATAAACTGTTTACCTTTGTGTAATCTTGGTAATTTTACTCCCTTAAAGAGAAAATTTGAAAATATTACATTCTGTATTGTTGGAAAATTGAGATCTGTTTGTTTGCTTGTGGTTTGCAAAGCAATAGTTTTTCAAGAATGTCCATGAAGTTTATAACATAAAATTAAATAAACTTATTTCTGTTTCAGACTTAAATCTCTCCCACAATCAGATGAGTAAATTACCCGAGGAGCTGGCAGATTTGGCAGAACTGGAGAGACTTGATATTTCCCACAATGCATACATTGCTTTGCCACATGTTGTTTACAAGATGCCCAAGTTGTCACACCTGCATGCACAGAACAACCATATTGTTGGTATGTAACTACAACAAAAATATTACTAAAACTTACATGCCTTATATCCATAAATCTTATGAAGTATAATGTATATATCATTATTATGCCACTAACTCTTCTGAGACTGCACTGAATTGATCGGTCGCCCTAATCAAAAGCTAATAATGATAATTCAGCTGGGCACCAGTAATTAAACTAAAAGGTATTTATCATGTTCACAAAGGCCTGTCACTGCTTCCCATCCTGAGCCAGACCAATCCAATCTAAATCCTCGGACTATTTCTTTAACAGCCATTTCCAGGTGTTTCTATGCTTCAGCATAAGCGAAGAACACCTCATGGGCTTGTCCACGTCTGTCTGTAACATCTTTCAGCGCACTGTTACAACTGTAACCTCAGTTCACATTGTTGCAAGTCAACAGATTAGCAACAGTGACCTTGGATGCCACTGTTACATTTGTTATTCCTTTGGTCACCCTGCTGATGTCATTGCATGTGATGTGGTGCAAAGAACACCTTTGGAATATTCATGTTCTCCATGATTGTAATATTGTCCTGCATCTATGCCTAGTTCTTCCAAGTACTCTATTCCCTTAAAATTTTCTGGCTAGAATTGTACCATCTGCTACACTGACTTTAAATATGGAGAGTATGCAAACTAATTTAAAGTACTGTGGTGAGAGAAGGAATTGATGCTTGTGATGAGTGGGAAATGATCAGTGCTTTGTCTGTCACCTTATGTCTACTTACGAAGAGCAAGTGTGCTGGTATGTGGTGGTTAATTATTCTATATTTTTGTTTGGATAAGGGGTTTATTATTGAGCATACCTGTTTTCTAAATAAAAAAACAAAGAATGGCAATTACCACCAAAAAAATTCACTTGAAAAGATTTTTTTGAAGTGGGTCATGGAAATGCTAGTTCCCACTCTTCCACCAAACTATCTAAAATGTATCCATACTGTCTAAATATCTCAACTCGATAACATTGTATGCATATGAATAAACTACTACTGCTTTTAAATGCCAAAGTCAGAGGACATTGGCATTGAAAAAGTACAAATTCAGGAGTGTCTTGACAGAAATAATATAAATAAAACAAGGACATAACAACATCTGTATACTTCAGCCTGGTTGGGTTCAATGTCCGTCACCAAAATATGTCAGATTCCATATGTCAAGATCAAGATCATGAAATCATATGATCACCCCCAAATCACTTACCTAAATGCAATAAAATGTATTTGGAACATTGTTAAAAGCTGAAGTAGCTTGTAATAATGTTAATCAAACCACAATTGATTTTCAAAACTTGATGATGAAAGTTACTGAAAATATAAATGTGGAAGATTGGAAAACTGCGGTTTCACACGCACACACACAAAAGAGAGAGAGAGAGAGAGAGAGAGAGGTAAACAGAAGCTGATTCCTGGACAAGAGACTATCAAGAGAAGAAATTTTGATCAAGTTTGGCAGCATTGATGCAGATACAGAATTTATGCAATTGATTTTGTCATGGAGAAGGAGGAGGTATAGCTCCTACATTTCTTAACCTTAGCACTAGATTGGGGTTACTGGTCAGCGTCACGCCCTGGCTGCGCTCAACCCCTGGGAAAGGACCCTGGTACTCATTGGATAGGAGGCTGGATCAGCCCCAGAGCCAGTCTGGATGCAGAGGCTAGAGGAAGGATCCTCTGTCCCCATTGAGGATCGAACAAAGGTCATTCAGTCCATAGCCAGTCCCTATACAGACTGAGTTACCCCAGCTCCACATATACATTGACCAGTGGTAACTATATGTACCACCTGCTTTAATGTTCAGTAACTCTCATTCTGCCCACAGATACACTTACAACTTTGAAACAGTTATGAGAATAAACAGAAATTACTTCCTTAAGCTGCATTAATCAACTGAACTGTTACAGATGTAGAGGTAGAACGATTACAGGAGACACCCTCACTGCAAGAAGTGGATCTGACGGATAATCCACTGAGCCCCCGATGCCATGACGCCCTCCAGACAGTGACATCACTGAGGATACACCTTAGCCCAAGACAGCTAGAGGACTGGGAAGACCTTACTGTGTAGGGTGTTAGCATTTGCTCACTTTGGAGTAATTCTGGGCCAGCCCATGCACAACATTCTGGGCACAGTCCTAGCACAGTTCTCCCACCTCAGGGAACAAAATTGTTAACTAATCCTGGTATTCTAGTCCAGTCATGCTGTCAGAACTTACCAAGTCGAGTGATGGCAGAATGTGGAACGTCATGGGTTCTGTCACAGATCTGAGGCCTAATTGCAGTAACATATTGTTATCTTTGTGTCAGTTCATTTCATAACATTAAGTAATACACAAATTTTCTGAAAGATTGGATGTGTAGAAATATAGGCATAAACTCTGTTCATGGATGATTCAGTTTAAACATATATCTTTAATTTCTGATGGTAACCAGAATACCACATAAGTAAACTCAGAAAGTAATGTCAAAATCTCATCTGTAATTAGGTCTCCAGTGATAATTTTAGCAGTGTTGATATTATGTGAATTTGTTGAGCTATGCTGTATTGCTCATACATACATTTTATACTATTTGATGTCTTTTATCATCTAATTAAATATTATTTTATTGTTGTTATAACAGTGTTTTTTATTACTTTATAGACTGTATAGAATAATGATTAACAATTTTGAGCAAGTACATGATCCTCCAAGAGGAAAGTGCAATACAAAGCTTGCAAATGTGACTATTTTTTTACCAAATAATGCATGACACATTGTGAAATTCACTTAATAATGACATTCAAAGATTAAATAAGGTAAATGTAGAAGATATATTGTAGTTTTTAACTGAAACTTGTTAGAAGAGTTTTATAAAAATTTAAATAATCAGAATTGGAATCTATAATTATATCATTATTTTTGAATAATGATTTTAATCTGAAACATAAAATTTACAAATTAATTCTGTATATCAGTCTTACATGTAATTTAATCACACAAAATAAAATATCTGATAGATTCCAAAAGTGACAGATGGATTGTTGTGTGTTTAGAGCACTTAATGTAATTACCTTTTATATTTATTAAAGTGGTACAAATATTTGCAACTATACCTATTAATACAAAAAAGTGAAAAAAACTCATTGATATATCTTTACAGAATTTGAGAGTAACTGATTCCAAAGTAAATATGGCTAATCCAATAAGTAGCATGGTGTGTAGGTAGGAATAAGGATAGCCAATCAGTCCCTAGATATCTACAGATCTATGGGTAGTCAGTGAGTGTTGCATTTTATAGTGAATCACTGAGGGCATTGATATTGTTATTCTGAGCAATCTGCATTTCCTTTTAAGGCAAAAGAAAAGAATCATCTTGCTATATTTTGATATAATACAAGGACTCCATATAAGGGACAGTTAAAATAATAAGCTTAATATACATAAAGTATGGCATTTAGTAAATGTTTTTCAAAACGTTTTGTGATAATGGATGATTTATTATACTAATTTCATGTTGAAAATTCTCCATCAGCTGAGTTACCCTTAAAATGTACAATGTTTTGGGAGTTGGATCTACTTTCATCTTCAGCAGACTTGTTTGTTTATTATTAATACTTGGTGGAGAGAACTGAATTGAAACCATGATATTTAGAATACTAATGCCTATATGCTAACCACTAGAGTACTGGGGTGGCACAAATATACAAATAAAAAGTAATAAAACATGTAAATACAGTGGCAACCAATCATATAAGTATACAAGTATAACTAACTCCCAAAATGTCATGTATGCCTATATCAGATACACCTCAAACAATGGACAATATTCAACATCATAATAGTGTAATTTAGTGATGATCTCATAGATGTCACCGTTTCAAAATTATCGTATAATGAAACAGACCTGTAACAAAAATAACTGCAATTTGTGAAATATTATTTTCAAATCATATTATTGTGTTGCTTATATACTTTTATATTAAATGAAATATGCTTTAATTTATGGCATTCAAAGAAACATAATTTTCACAGTATTAACCTTTGTCATACAGGAACAGGATTTAAATCCCTGTATTATGGTGCTACCAGCTGAACTTCAAATCTAGGGTAAAGTGTACAGAAGTACACTACTGCAGCACATGGACATCTGGAGTGCATGTAACTGATCATGCATGGCCAATAAATATTCATTTTCCGTAACTGAATCCACCATAAGATAACCAATTACATGAAAGTGTGTTTTCCTGTTATTAAAGCTGGGGATGGAATGCCATTGTGACAAAAGAAAATTTTGCTGCTAATGGCAATTAAATGAGTGAATGTGTTTAAACACTACATGACTTGGTTGGCAATGGTGGTTCACCAGAGTATATCAATGTCCTATAAAATGATCAGCAATTAATCTGTGAATACTGCAGAGATGTCATGGTGAATGGACATTTCCCTCTGGTATAAATACTTGAGTACAACAATGTCCCTTCTTGGAAATATTTAATTGATAATGAAAGTTTAGATTTCTGGTAGTATCTACAGTGGAAAAGTTATTTACATATGTTAAAATGTAGCAAGGAAACAAAGTATGCAAATCCTTTGGTGAATATGTCAGTGTTGGTCTTCTGGAGGCCTTATTTTCCTCAGAAATGTTGGTATCAATCTGCAAGCCCACGTGGTGTTACAACCGCTCAACATAAATGGAGATGCTGCCATTCCTACTTACAACCACTTGTACAGTTTTGTTGCCTGATAAACTGAAGTGCATATAGGCTATCTGTGGGGGGGGGGGGTTCCTTATCTTCAAGTTTCTCTATCCACAATGTTATTGCATTACTTTTCAGTCCATTGCAGGTTATTTTTATATACATAATTCTTGGAAACTCTTATTTATACTGTTTGATTCAGCATTTATTTTCATCCTCTTTGATTTTAATTTATCCTGCTCTTTTTCCCTTGCCATTTCTGATGTCTATTTCAGCTCATCATCAGAACTAGTCTGATACTAATATAACAATTATTTAATACATACACATACATAACCATTCTGTTAGTACATATAACAACCTCTCAAATTCTTGAGAAAATTAAGATTTTAATTATTTTCACCTTTCTTTACCAGTCAAAATAATGTGGAGTGAAATAATGGTCCCATTGTCTTTCAAAAAGAGAAAATAAGACAGAATGCATTAATTAGCATTAACTGAGTTTAGTTTTCAAAGCAGTATCTCCATTGCATGCTCAAAAATTCCTTAAGAAAACATTTATTAGTTTAATGAACTAATCAGAGTATTGGTTTAAATGAGAAGCCCATCCTGTCCCATTGCCACAAATAACATTTTATGACAAAGAACTATACACATACTGTGCGATCTTTTCCTTAGTTTTATATATTTTTATAAACACCTTGCAAACATTTTTAATATTTAAAATGGCGCACAGTGTCCAGTTTAATCTTGATATATAAGAGTGTGATGCACTGTCAGTGAATGTTAGTCACTTTAACATTTTCATTTTGTTATATTTTCAACTGCTTTGCTGTAAAAGTCAAATTGCTTTCTCCAAATGTGCCTTAATCTGATAAAGCTAGGCTGTTTAAAATGTTGGACACATGCACTTGAAACGGTGGACGAAGGTTACTATAATCAGAAATCTCAGGAACTAAAAATGCTTGTATTGGTTTCAGATCACTGTCAATTTTAAAACAAAATGCAAGCAAGTGAAATCCCAATAATCATTTTATAAACATATGCAGTGCTTCTGTCTTTTAAGCTGCATACACACCAGAGTTTCTGAAAAGTGTGTGTGGAGCACCCAATATGTAAGGGCACTGTGCGTTCACAGCTCATGCATAGTGTGTGTGCTACATACAGCACCAAAGCGACGTTCACTCTGAAACACTACATGTCCACTTTGGTGTGGACGCATTTACTGTTCGGCACACACCAGTTACATTCATACCTTTGAATTTCATTATTGTTTGTGTGCATGTACCTTTATTCTATACCACATTTAAATAGACTGCAAGTATTTAATCTTCCCAGAACTCAAGATCAGTTGTGTAATGAAAGTAAGGGATAAAAAATGCATAACTACATATACAATAAGAGCCAGGTATATCAGTCCGTAAAGTGACTGGGTATGAGCTGGCTGACCTGGGTTCAATGCCTGGCAGCACAAGGGGTTCCTTCTTTACCAACTTGTCAAGATCAATTCTGGAGCCCACCTGCCCTATACAATAGGTACAAGGGGCCAGAGTGCATGAGCTAACCTCTACTCTGTCATATGCCTTCATGGAGCAATCCTTATTTAAGCAGTGACAACTTTATCTTTTCATGCAGAAAAGTAATATTAATAACCACTATGTGATTTTAAACATTCATACGGTTAGTTAGGTAAGTTTATTCTATGCATGTACACAAAACAAGAGCATTTCCAGTGTTCACCCTTTCCCAAAAGTTATACAAGATAGGGTTTCTTTTTGCAGAATGTTATATCACAGCTTAATTTGTAATTCACTTAATACTGCAGCCAGCCAACCTACAAATATCATGTTAAATTACCATATTTTCTACACTGCATAAGTAATACGAGTATGTTGCTACATCCATTCATTTGTATGTATAACATTTTGTCCAAGTATTCTATCAGCCAGGCTAATCAGGATAAAATTACTGTAAAGTCAAAACTTGTAGTATGTCTTGTTTGCTTCCTTAGCACTTATTATGGAAGGAATTGCTTTGTTTAATTTATAAAATATTCTAATTTATGAGACAACTCAGTGACATACAATTCTTGAACTAACATTGTCCAATGTATAAGGTTCTGTGTCACTGATTCATACAATAAATGGATTTTGAAACTTTAACTTCCCACACATCCATATTGAGCACATTTAACAGCATACTTAATAAGAACTATTTATTACTGTTACTGTCATATGGATGTAGCTTCTCAGAGAACCTTATCATGCAATTTCATGTGAACACATATTTATCTGTACTTTATATTTATCAGAATAAAATCTACATTTTTATGAAGACTGTTTAAATTTTTTACATAAGCTGAACAAATGAATATGCTGACCTCCATTGTTCCCTTCATTCTGACTTTGTTAAAAATATAAAAAAAAACAAGAGAATGCTGTAGCATTGTTGCTGTTCCTCAAGACAGACACGAAAGCCATTCCTTTTATGCAGAGCTTCACAAATTCTAAGTCTTGGTCTTCTGAAAGTCTCAACTGAAGAATGATCATACCACACAACTGATCATCTCAGGCAGTGAATAATCATCAACATCTTTGTTTAGCAATTATCACGTGCATTAGAGTCAATGGTTGACAGGCATTTCATTTGCAGTATCATTAATGTGGCACCAAGTTTGGCTCGTGTGCTGATTAGATGGTACAGACAAATCTGCATCTGTGATAAGCAATAACCTCACACAGAGTGGAATTGACAAATGAGGCTTTGTAGTATTACAGTATATCACCCATAACCATGTTTAAAATATTAGTCTCTTCTGTTGCATTTTTAATATTTATTAGTGGATTTTGCAACTATTAAATGTGTAGGAACTGCTGAGAGACAAGAAGTCAAATCAATTGCATCAGAAGAATTCCTTTTCTGCAGTATTGGAAAGAAGAAATAAATAATCATACTATAAAGTGAAATTTTAATGTAAATAAGTAAGCTATTATACAGCATTCTCCGGAACCTACAAAATGGCATAATATCATCCATTTACTTAAAAACCGTCACTATACATTGGCTTTTAAGCTGCAAAAGTTTGTTTAATTTAAATTCAGCATTTTCCAACACAGCCAATGGATGCACTAGAGGGCACAGATTATACCATTATTATTCTTTATTTGATTTGCAGTGACAAGGAATTGGCAGAAAAGCTTAGCAAGCTGTGCAATACTGACTCTGCCAAAATGCTGTATAAATATAATTTTTTTTTTTTTTCCAGCAAAAATTTTGTGGAGACCGTTTCATGCATTTGTGAAAGGGAACGTCTCAACAGGATGGTGGCAGTTTCACACAGCTCAGATTGATCTACACATTCAACCACACAAACTTTTTGAACTTTCCAATATATCCCACAAATTCTGATAAGCGATGTATCTCATGGTTGATAACATCAGAAGCACTTTGTTATTATTTGATATGCTGGATAAAATCTTTCACGTATCCAACAAATACCTTAGAGCTGGAAAATCCACTTACGACCTTTTTCTCTAGTTCTTCGGACAATTTTGGTCTCTCCACACATTTTTTACTTTGTGGTATATGAAGAAAGATAAAAACTGAAATCATATATCCACATATCTTATAAGTACCAATAAGTTTTTAAAAGTACGAGTCTAAATTCAGAAAAATATTTAAATGAACTCCATACAGCATGCTGGCAAAGTTCAATGCACAGTGTTGTAGCTTTACATTTTCATGTGGTGTAAAACGTGTTTCCATTTCTTTAAGAAAATATGAAACTGTGTTATTAATAATAAAACAAATACTTACTCAGCCAGCTTATAAACAAAAACCTTGATGCTGTAAAATAACAATTTTCCAATGGCGGTAATATTATGATCAGCTGTTTCCTGCACGTTGACAAACCTAAAAAAACTATTTCCCACCACATGCAACCACAAATACCTGAGGTGGGCAATGTCACAAAACAGCCCAAGCCTTAAAAATTTCCCCTACTACAGTGTGAATATAAACTATATTTACATCTTTAGCCATGTAAAAAACTTTATGAAAACACATAAGTACACTGTCTGAGAGTCATTTGCGAAAGAAGCTTCAAAAATTGTTTTGAAGTTCACACTCACTCAACATGAACACCGTGTGTCATAGGTCATCTTCAGTGTGTACGTGAGAATATCCTGAAAATGAAGGCGGCAGTTACCCCATAAATGTTTGTAACCATCTACAATATCAATCTGCATTTTCACTGTTCTGTAAATCTCACATCTCACTGTGGACATGCATACTGCTCAATTACGACTCTGACTTACGTAACACACGACGCAAGGCCATAACACAATAACAGTGTTGCTGTTGGTCTGTGTCGACCGTGTGTTCTAGACTTCAGCTATAGTAAGGTGCATCGTCCGTGCGTTCACGGTTTATACCAAGATCCTGTTACCAGTCAGCATTTTACCGATCTCTAGTATTAGAAGATAAAAAGCGATATTTCAGTGAGAATAACAGATTTCAGATATCGGAACCCACACCTCCCGAAAAGAACAAAGGTGAGATGTATGTTACAAAACAGAATATGTGATATTTGCGGTTTTCACGGCGGTGAGGATAATGTGACTCTGGGTAGATGCGATGGATTCCGTGTCAGAAACGTGAAGGGCGGTCTTATGACGAATGTCGAAAATGAGGAGTTATTTTACGGATGTGGCTTATGTCGAAATAAATAAATCATGCAAATTACTGGTACAAGAATGTGGAAAGAATAGACCGTCCGGTGATTCCCGAAATACTAGAAAAGTTATGAAAAAAAGTTGTCAGTGGAACCACGGTTCCGGAGAATTTGATGTAAATACGTCTATACGGAAAGAAAGTTTATATATTGGCTTTATTCTAAATATTTCCTTTATACATGCTTTACAATTGAGATAAGTTTGATTAAAACATTGCTTAATCAACTTGAATTAGTTACGCTTAAGATGGCTCTGTGGTAGCTGAATGTAATGTAAAGTAATGAAATGTAATGTAAGGTAAGGTAAGGTAATGTAATGAAATGTAATGTAACGTTTCCTAGGTAACAACAACGCTAAGTAAACAGATGACGTTTCCTAGGTAACAATAATGCCGAGTAAACAGACGACGTTCCCTAGGTAACCATTGTTACACTTTTTCGTTTCCTTTTTACGTTACACTTTTTTGCCGAATGACCCTTCCTTATAGACGTATTTACGTCAAAACATGACTTCAAAATTGCATAATTCTTTTTCACTGTACAATTTTTGTGTTATATTTTGTTTCCATACTGTGATACATTATTAACGTAGTCATTCTTTTGCCATTTTATGTTCAGAATACGGGAAAACATGAAAAACACCCAAACTGTCCCTGGCTGCCTGACACTTCCCTATACGTCGCAGATGACACTTCAGCTACTTGTCCTGGGAGCATGTCTTTCCGTTGTGTCGCCATTCGTCTGCCTTCAGAACTACTGCCAAACTGTAAACTGCACAACAGTTACCGAGTTACCTTGCGCCCAGAATGCCATCTTAGTGCCAAATTCATCATTCTGTGGTTGTTGCGCCAAATGCATCACGCAGCTAAGTATGATCATTATTAGTGTTTTGTTCTTGTAAATATTAAGATTATTTATAGGAAAAACCAAAATATTAATATATACGTCTACAACTTTTATATTTTCTTTAAAATGGGCGTTCTCTCGCCCATCGGAGTGTACATTGTTGAAGATGATTGATAAAAATCCTGAGGAAAATATTCTGGACCTAGGAGGGGCAAAGTAAATTACTAAGAAGATGGAAACACAACATAATGTGAAAATTGCACCATATTTTGAACTTTGCACAAATGTACAACGCATGGATAAAATGAGAAATGCATACACAATTCTAGTTTGAAAATATGATTAAAAGCGAACACTTGCAGAAATTTGCATAGATAGGAGATTACTATTAAAACTGACTGTAAAGTAATAAAAAATAACGTTAATTGTATTCATCCCGATTCAGGACACAGTCCAACGGCGGGCTTTGTTACTAAAAAGCCCCTATCATTTTAGTGAATATTCCCTACTGCGACTTTCTATCTTTCCCCCTCCCTGATGATGATAATAATAATCCGTGGCTTAACAGCCCTCTGAGAGCCAAAGCCGACGAAAAATGTTAATGGTTTATCCGGAATGCGTTTACCGATTAATTTCTTTCTTCCCCCTTTTTTTTACACTTAATCAAAACGTGAACCACTGGCTGTAGCAACCACCACTTAATTGCATGCTTCAAAGTTACAGCAAAATACAACATTGTAACAAGAATATGAGTGTAGGCAAGTGAAAACAACTCAGAACTCTCAGTGTAGCAATGCTGTACTTTTGACGATGAGGAGGGGGAGGTCTGAATTCTTTCATTGGCTTTGGAGCATGGAATTTGTTAACGGCTACCATAGTCCGCTCAGAGTGCCCACATTGTCAAGATCAGCACGCTTTGTAATTTTTCGGAACAAAAACGTCCTGTTTATTTCTAAACGAAGGACTGCCTGTGATTTACTATGAATTAATGCAACTTTCCATGATTGCGTTCAAAGATCTACAATCTGAAACTGGGCGAGATTTCAAGACCGATGCTTGTTTGTTTCAGACGAGGGAGACGAATGTGCTGTGCTTTTACTCCTTGGAGGACCTCCTCCTACCGTGCAGTGCAGAGATCCGCTTTCCTGTATCAATGGTACGTGCCAAATGTGATCTAGGATGCCATCTTGTAAAATCAAGCTTATTCTGATCTTCAAAGTCCAGTTTCAAGTTAAAACAGGCCTTGCGTGCAAGTGGTGTTGTAGTTGAATTATGTAAAAACAGCACTCTCCACAAATGAAGTAGCCAATATTGTAAAATAAAAACATTATGAATCAATAAATACGAAAATTACTATTAATTATGATACATTAAATGAAACATAACTTTTGTTGGATACACACGACTGAGCAAAACAATACCAGAATATGTGATAAAATTTAGATCAGGAATAAGAAACCGGAAGACTAGATAGGCAGAGAATATGACTCAAAGACAAGTCGCAGAAGACATGATGGAAGACAGTGAGAGAGAAATCACAAAGTCGCTGGAAGAGATCTTGAGGTCGATACAGGCATTAAGTTGCCTGACCCGAGAAGAAAGGAAGCTGAAGAGAGGATTGGTCTTGAACGGAAACATTAATCGCCCTTATGATGGAGGCAGGAAGCACCTCTCAAATGTCTGTTCACTTCTAACAGATTACAAGACACAGCAGCATCCCTGAAGACAGGCATTTTCAATGCTACAATGACCTTGAAGAATAAGATACGGAGGTATGGACTGCATTCTGGCGGCTGAGGATACAATTTTGTGGCGACCTCGTGACAGCAATAAACATTCGTGTTACGTAAAGACGGGGAAATGTTTAAACAGAAAGATTTTAAGCTTCTTAAATTGGACTCTGATCGATGTAATTATTTGTTGAAGGGTTTACAATATAGCACCCTAAATTTGTGAATTTGTAGTATACGGAATTTGCGTCAACGGAAAAAGAAAAGAAAAATATTTGTTTATTTGGTACCATAATTATAACGTATGAAATGAAGTAGGCCTACCCTTTTGGCTGAAGAAACAATATGACAATTCAAGTTTTCACTACGGGGTGGCGAGAGTTCGGATTTTGGTCTCCTGGTTGTGACACCGTGTAGTCCTGTGTGTTGCAATGGTGGGTGGTTACAGACGTTTCGGAGAAACATAACCTCTCCATTTTCAGGGTATAAGATGGATGAAGCATGTTCAGAAACATCAGCAACCAACGAGGGTATACACGGTGTCGCCGAAGACACCAACTAGCTGTGCTTATATCACACGCTCCCTCACTATCTAATTCCGACTGGTAAGGCCACCACTGACCTACGATCAGAAACCACACCGAATGCTTTCATGGACGGCCATGGAGCAGATTCCCAGTCCCGAAAATCGGTAGGCATGCTCGTTATATAGTATTAATTACGACGTACTTTCAGAGTGTTCACTGGATCCATGTTTCAAGTGCTCTGCGTTGGAAAGAGGGGAATTTTATCTCCACAGCCCACTGCATCAGGTAAATCTACAAAAAGAAAGAATCACAATTCATGTGGAGGCAAACTCACGCACAAACTATTTTGAGTATGATTAATACGAGATTTTACTCATCCCACAAGATAATTTTACTATGAAGAATCTAATGTACCATTTTGTTTAGCAATCTTCTTTATTAAAAAACTCCTTCTGTGAGTGGCGTGAAAATGCTTTATATCCATCAGAGCTAACATTCCAAACTAAGTAAAGCACACACGATTTAATGTTCTCAGATGTTTCAGTGAGAGAAGTCAAAACAGACAACAGATTATGGGTGGAAAGAAATTGCCTGTGTTATAACTGGAATCAAGCCCTTAAGTGTTTCATTTTTTTTTCTGCAGTCAACAATCTGCCCAGTGACTTTATAACATGCATGTTTTCCAGTCACCTCCTTGCCAAATGTCGGGTGTACAGGATCATGTGGACGATTAACGACCTGTTCACGGCCTTCAGAATATTTGCTCTTCTGAACACACACTTCACGTGACAAGGTCTCTTCCACATATGCACTTAACCTGCGGAGAATTTCAGCCGATTTCACTTGAAGTGTCACCAGAAAACTTTATGATATAGCGTTGTTCTAGTGTCCAACGCCATTTTGCACTGCTTCTAATGCAGAAGCACTATATGTGTGGAAATGAGAGTAGTATTGCCACCATCAGGTACGAAGGATATTTCGTCATTCTGGTGCAGACACATTTTGTTAAAAAAATCCAGGTCAACCTTGAACCACCCTCGTATTATAGTTAAAATTCATCCAAATTTTTAAAACAGAATATGCACAAAAAATGGTTGATGGCTAAACCTTCACAATGCAGTTGATTGCATTGCCATATCATATTTTGAAATACAGTATATTCAATAAGTTGAACACAAATGTCATTTCCCAGCTTTGCAGGTGGAATGGCATGGTCCACTATCGAACACTACAAGGTCTTTTGCTATATAAGCCAAGTACTGTTTCATAAAAACAACAGAATCAACTTATACCTATAAAAGAGCAGTTCCTGTTGGGAGCTGGGAAGTGAACACTGAGTTAAACTTTGTCAGCGAACACATTGTTAAAATATAATTTTCAACTACAGGAGCCACAGGGAAAAAAATATACATTTAATTTCATCTTGGTACTTGTGTATGGGTTATTTACATTTTAGCATAGCACTGACAGAAACACTGCAGTACTTAGTGCATCTTTGAAGGGTGAAACCCACGCCTACTGAATGCAAGTAAACATACATAATTGATTTAACATACATCACATGCACACACAAATTTCTACATACAAGTGCAAGCATTCATAACAAGGATCATGTGATGAGTATACTAAAACATTTTGAGTCATAGTTTTACATACAATAAAATGTTTAGACATGTATAACACCACTTCGCTTACATATTTCAATATGTGTTTCAGTGTGGGAAACATTTAAAAAAATTCGGTATTTAGTTACTCTTCTTCTTCGTGCTCCAGCCATGTTGACGTGAGGTTATTTCAGTCAGACATTTTTTTGCATTATAGACAGAAAGGTCCTACCAGCATATTTCAAAACATTTGTTTTTAAGTCACACTTTGTCAGCAAAACAGAGAAGAAATATGTCTCCTTGCCGGTGACTCAGTCACCCTGCACCTTTCCTTGTCACACTTTTATCTCCGGTCAAATGGGATATTTTTTAATCAGATCTTACTGGCATTTAGAGAGATATCAGTAGTCATTTTAGTTGTCAATCTTTATATCTGATCTGATTTGTTTAATGTTTTGGTAGTGATAGGCAGTACAGTCTTTAAACGAAGTAATCCTCCAGTCTTCCATTTTATGAAAGGTTGCCAACACAATATTAACAATGAATACTAATTTCAGAATTTCTTCCATAATTACAGCTGTACTTGCCTATTATTTACAAGCACATGAATATTTTCATACTTTCTGCATTTAAAGACTCAAGTGATAATACTAAGATGGAGAAATGGCCACAAGCAAACACCGAGAGTTTCCATGTGTACACAGAGATGTTTCAGTTACTCAGAATCTCTTCCCATGTCTTCATATTTCATTGTTTTGTTTGAAATGCACCTAAGAAACAAAAAATCAAGTGGCTAATTTACATCAAACACCACATGGAGTCATGCCATAGATCAGTGGTCCCCAACCTTTTGTGCCTACGGGCACATTTGAGAGTTTATGAGATCGTGGCAGGCACCAACCAATTTTTACGTTACACTTTTTTGCCGAATGACCCTTCCTTATAGACGTATTTACGTCAAAACATGACTTCAAAATTGCATAATTCTTTTTCACTGTACAATTTTTGTGTTATATTTTGTTTCCATACTGTGATACATTATTAACGTAGTCATTCTTTTGCCATTTTATGTTCAGAATACGGGAAAACATGAAAAACACCCAAACTGTCCCTGGCTGCCTGACACTTCCCTATACGTCGCAGATGACACTTCAGCTACTTGTCCTGGGAGCCTGTCTTTCCGTTGTGTCGCCATTCGTCTGCCTTCAGAACTACTGCCAAACTGTAAACTGCACAACAGTTACCGAGTTACCTTGCGCCCAGAATGCCATCTTAGTGCCAAATTCATCATTCTGTGGTTGTTGCGCCAAATGCATCACGCAGCTAAGTATGATCATTATTAGTGTTTTGTTCTTGTAAATATTAAGATTATTTATAGGAAAAACCAAAATATTAATATATACGTCTACAACTTTTATATTTTCTTTAAAATGGGCGTTCTCTCGCCCATCGGAGTGTACATTGTTGAAGATGATTGATAAAAATCCTGAGGAAAATATTCTGGACCTAGGAGGGGCAAAGTAAATTACTAAGAAGATGGAAACACAACATAATGTGAAAATTGCACCATATTTTGAACTTTGCACAAATGTACAACGCATGGATAAAATGAGAAATGCATACACAATTCTAGTTTGAAAATATGATTAAAAGCGAACACTTGCAGAAATTTGCATAGATAGGAGATTACTATTAAAACTGACTGTAAAGTAATAAAAAATAACGTTAATTGTATTCATCCCGATTCAGGACACAGTCCAACGGCGGGCTTTGTTACTAAAAAGCCCCTATCATTTTAGTGAATATTCCCTACTGCGACTTTCTATCTTTCCCCCTCCCTGATGATGATAATAATAATCCGTGGCTTAACAGCCCTCTGAGAGCCAAAGCCGACGAAAAATGTTAATGGTTTATCCGGAATGCGTTTACCGATTAATTTCTTTCTTCCCCCTTTTTTTTACACTTAATCAAAACGTGAACCACTGGCTGTAGCAACCACCACTTAATTGCGTGCTTCAAAGTTACAGCAAAATACAACATTGTAACAAGAATATGAGTGTAGGTAAGTGAAAACAACTCAGAACTCTCAGTGTAGCAATGCTGTACTTTTGACGATGAGGAGGGGGAGGTCTGAATTCTTTCATTGGCTTTGGAGCATGGAATTTGTTAACGGCTACCATAGTCCGCTCAGAGTGCCCACATTGTCAAGATCAGCACGCTTTGTAATTTTTCGGAACAAAAACGTCCTGTTTATTTCTAAACGAAGGACTGCCTGTGATTTACTATGAATTAATGCAACTTTCCATGATTGCGTTCAAAGATCTACAATCTGAAACTGGGCGAGATTTCAAGACCGATGCTTGTTTGTTTCAGACGAGGGAGACGAATGTGCTGTGCTTTTACTCCTTGGAGGACCTCCTCCTACCGTGCAGTGCAGAGATCCGCTTTCCTGTATCAATGGTACGTGCCAAATGTGATCTAGGATGCCATCTTGTAAAATCAAGCTTATTCTGATCTTCAAAGTCCAGTTTCAAGTTAAAACAGGCCTTGCGTGCAAGTGGTGTTGTAGTTGAATTATGTAAAAACAGCACTCTCCACAAATGAAGTAGCCAATATTGTAAAATAAAAACATTATGAATCAATAAATACGAAAATTACTATTAATTATGATACATTAAATGAAACATAACTTTTGTTGGATACACACGACTGAGCAAAACAATACCAGAATATGTGATAAAATTTAGATCAGGAATAAGAAACCGGAAGACTAGATAGGCAGAGAATATGACTCAAAGACAAGTCGCAGAAGACATGATGGAAGACAGTGAGAGAGAAATCACAAAGTCGCTGGAAGAGATCTTGAGGTCGATACAGGCATTAAGTTGCCTGACCCGAGAAGAAAGGAAGCTGAAGAGAGGATTGGTCTTGAACGGAAACATTAATCGCCCTTATGATGGAGGCAGGAAGCACCTCTCAAATGTCTGTTCACTTCTAACAGATTACAAGACACAGCAGCATCCCTGAAGACAGGCATTTTCAATGCTACAATGACCTTGAAGAATAAGATACGGAGGTATGGACTGCATTCTGGCGGCTGAGGATACAATTTTGTGGCGACCTCGTGACAGCAATAAACATTCGTGTTACGTAAAGACGGGGAAATGTTTAAACAGAAAGATTTTAAGCTTCTTAAATTGGACTCTGATCGATGTAATTATTTGTTGAAGGGTTTACAATATAGCACCCTAAATTTGTGAATTTGTAGTATACGGAATTTGCGTCAACGGAAAAAGAAAAGAAAAATATTTGTTTATTTGGTACCATAATTATAACGTATGAAATGAAGTAGGCCTACCCTTTTGGCTGAAGAAACAATATGACAATTCAAGTTTTCACTACGGGGTGGCGAGAGTTCGGATTTTGGTCTCCTGGTTGTGACACCGTGTAGTCCTGTGTGTTGCAATGGTGGGTGGTTACAGACGTTTCGGAGAAACATAACCTCTCCATTTTCAGGGTATAAGATGGATGAAGCATGTTCAGAAACATCAGCAACCAACGAGGGTATACACGGTGTCGCCGAAGACACCAACTAGCTGTGCTTATATCACACGCTCCCTCACTATCTAATTCCGACTGGTAAGGCCACCACTGACCTACGATCAGAAACCACACCGAATGCTTTCATGGACGGCCATGGAGCAGATTCCCAGTCCCGAAAATCGGTAGGCATGCTCGTTATATAGTATTAATTACGACGTACTTTCAGAGTGTTCACTGGATCCATGTTTCAAGTGCTCTGCGTTGGAAAGAGGGGAATTTTATCTCCACAGCCCACTGCATCAGGTAAATCTACAAAAAGAAAGAATCACAATTCATGTGGAGGCAAACTCACGCACAAACTATTTTGAGTATGATTAATACGAGATTTTACTCATCCCACAAGATAATTTTACTATGAAGAATCTAATGTACCATTTTGTTTAGCAATCTTCTTTATTAAAAAACTCCTTCTGTGAGTGGCGTGAAAATGCTTTATATCCATCAGAGCTAACATTCCAAACTAAGTAAAGCACACACGATTTAATGTTCTCAGATGTTTCAGTGAGAGAAGTCAAAACAGACAACAGATTATGGGTGGAATACAACATTGTAACAAGAATATGAGTGTAGGTAAGTGAAAACAACTCAGAACTCTCAGTGTAGCAATGCTGTACTTTTGACGATGAGGAGGGGGAGGTCTGAATTCTTTCATTGGCTTTGGAGCATGGAATTTGTTAACGGCTACCATAGTCCGCTCAGAGTGCCCACATTGTCAAGATCAGCACGCTTTGTAATTTTTCGGAACAAAAACGTCCTGTTTATTTCTAAACGAAGGACTGCCTGTGATTTACTATGAATTAATGCAACTTTCCATGATTGCGTTCAAAGATCTACAATCTGAAACTGGGCGAGATTTCAAGACCGATGCTTGTTTGTTTCAGACGAGGGAGACGAATGTGCTGTGCTTTTACTCCTTGGAGGACCTCCTCCTACCGTGCAGTGCAGAGATCCGCTTTCCTGTATCAATGGTACGTGCCAAATGTGATCTAGGATGCCATCTTGTAAAATCAAGCTTATTCTGATCTTCAAAGTCCAGTTTCAAGTTAAAACAGGCCTTGCGTGCAAGTGGTGTTGTAGTTGAATTATGTAAAAACAGCACTCTCCACAAATGAAGTAGCCAATATTGTAAAATAAAAACATTATGAATCAATAAATACGAAAATTACTATTAATTATGATACATTAAATGAAACATAACTTTTGTTGGATACACACGACTGAGCAAAACAATACCAGAATATGTGATAAAATTTAGATCAGGAATAAGAAACCGGAAGACTAGATAGGCAGAGAATATGACTCAAAGACAAGTCGCAGAAGACATGATGGAAGACAGTGAGAGAGAAATCACAAAGTCGCTGGAAGAGATCTTGAGGTCGATACAGGCATTAAGTTGCCTGACCCGAGAAGAAAGGAAGCTGAAGAGAGGATTGGTCTTGAACGGAAACATTAATCGCCCTTATGATGGAGGCAGGAAGCACCTCTCAAATGTCTGTTCACTTCTAACAGATTACAAGACACAGCAGCATCCCTGAAGACAGGCATTTTCAATGCTACAATGACCTTGAAGAATAAGATACGGAGGTATGGACTGCATTCTGGCGGCTGAGGATACAATTTTGTGGCGACCTCGTGACAGCAATAAACATTCGTGTTACGTAAAGACGGGGAAATGTTTAAACAGAAAGATTTTAAGCTTCTTAAATTGGACTCTGATCGATGTAATTATTTGTTGAAGGGTTTACAATATAGCACCCTAAATTTGTGAATTTGTAGTATACGGAATTTGCGTCAACGGAAAAAGAAAAGAAAAATATTTGTTTATTTGGTACCATAATTATAACGTATGAAATGAAGTAGGCCTACCCTTTTGGCTGAAGAAACAATATGACAATTCAAGTTTTCACTACGGGGTGGCGAGAGTTCGGATTTTGGTCTCCTGGTTGTGACACCGTGTAGTCCTGTGTGTTGCAATGGTGGGTGGTTACAGACGTTTCGGAGAAACATAACCTCTCCATTTTCAGGGTATAAGATGGATGAAGCATGTTCAGAAACATCAGCAACCAACGAGGGTATACACGGTGTCGCCGAAGACACCAACTAGCTGTGCTTATATCACACGCTCCCTCACTATCTAATTCCGACTGGTAAGGCCACCACTGACCTACGATCAGAAACCACACCGAATGCTTTCATGGACGGCCATGGAGCAGATTCCCAGTCCCGAAAATCGGTAGGCATGCTCGTTATATAGTATTAATTACGACGTACTTTCAGAGTGTTCACTGGATCCATGTTTCAAGTGCTCTGCGTTGGAAAGAGGGGAATTTTATCTCCACAGCCCACTGCATCAGGTAAATCTACAAAAAGAAAGAATCACAATTCATGTGGAGGCAAACTCACGCACAAACTATTTTGAGTATGATTAATACGAGATTTTACTCATCCCACAAGATAATTTTACTATGAAGAATCTAATGTACCATTTTGTTTAGCAATCTTCTTTATTAAAAAACTCCTTCTGTGAGTGGCGTGAAAATGCTTTATATCCATCAGAGCTAACATTCCAAACTAAGTAAAGCACACACGATTTAATGTTCTCAGATGTTTCAGTGAGAGAAGTCAAAACAGACAACAGATTATGGGTGGAAAGAAATTGCCTGTGTTATAACTGGAATCAAGCCCTTAAGTGTTTCATTTTTTTTTCTGCAGTCAACAATCTGCCCAGTGACTTTATAACATGCATGTTTTCCAGTCACCTCCTTGCCAAATGTCGGGTGTACAGGATCATGTGGACGATTAACGACCTGTTCACGGCCTTCAGAATATTTGCTCTTCTGAACACACACTTCACGTGACAAGGTCTCTTCCACATATGCACTTAACCTGCGGAGAATTTCAGCCGATTTCACTTGAAGTGTCACCAGAAAACTTTATGATATAGCGTTGTTCTAGTGTCCAACGCCATTTTGCACTGCTTCTAATGCAGAAGCACTATATGTGTGGAAATGAGAGTAGTATTGCCACCATCAGGTACGAAGGATATTTCGTCATTCTGGTGCAGACACATTTTGTTAAAAAAATCCAGGTCAACCTTGAACCACCCTCGTATTATAGTTAAAATTCATCCAAATTTTTAAAACAGAATATGCACAAAAAATGGTTGATGGCTAAACCTTCACAATGCAGTTGATTGCATTGCCATATCATATTTTGAAATACAGTATATTCAATAAGTTGAACACAAATGTCATTTCCCAGCTTTGCAGGTGGAATGGCATGGTCCACTATCGAACACTACAAGGTCTTTTGCTATATAAGCCAAGTACTGTTTCATAAAAACAACAGAATCAACTTATACCTATAAAAGAGCAGTTCCTGTTGGGAGCTGGGAAGTGAACACTGAGTTAAACTTTGTCAGCGAACACATTGTTAAAATATAATTTTCAACTACAGGAGCCACAGGGAAAAAAATATACATTTAATTTCATCTTGGTACTTGTGTATGGGTTATTTACATTTTAGCATAGCACTGACAGAAACACTGCAGTACTTAGTGCATCTTTGAAGGGTGAAACCCACGCCTACTGAATGCAAGTAAACATACATAATTGATTTAACATACATCACATGCACACACAAATTTCTACATACAAGTGCAAGCATTCATAACAAGGATCATGTGATGAGTATACTAAAACATTTTGAGTCATAGTTTTACATACAATAAAATGTTTAGACATGTATAACACCACTTCGCTTACATATTTCAATATGTGTTTCAGTGTGGGAAACATTTAAAAAAATTCGGTATTTAGTTACTCTTCTTCTTCGTGCTCCAGCCATGTTGACGTGAGGTTATTTCAGTCAGACATTTTTTTGCATTATAGACAGAAAGGTCCTACCAGCATATTTCAAAACATTTGTTTTTAAGTCACACTTTGTCAGCAAAACAGAGAAGAAATATGTCTCCTTGCCGGTGACTCAGTCACCCTGCACCTTTCCTTGTCACACTTTTATCTCCGGTCAAATGGGATATTTTTTAATCAGATCTTACTGGCATTTAGAGAGATATCAGTAGTCATTTTAGTTGTCAATCTTTATATCTGATCTGATTTGTTTAATGTTTTGGTAGTGATAGGCAGTACAGTCTTTAAACGAAGTAATCCTCCAGTCTTCCATTTTATGAAAGGTTGCCAACACAATATTAACAATGAATACTAATTTCAGAATTTCTTCCATAATTACAGCTGTACTTGCCTATTATTTACAAGCACATGAATATTTTCATACTTTCTGCATTTAAAGACTCAAGTGATAATACTAAGATGGAGAAATGGCCACAAGCAAACACCGAGAGTTTCCATGTGTACACAGAGATGTTTCAGTTACTCAGAATCTCTTCCCATGTCTTCATATTTCATTGTTTTGTTTGAAATGCACCTAAGAAACAAAAAATCAAGTGGCTAATTTACATCAAACACCACATGGAGTCATGCCATAGATCAGTGGTCCCCAACCTTTTGTGCCTACGGGCACATTTGAGAGTTTATGAGATCGTGGCAGGCACCAACCAATTTCCCAAGCAAAATTTTATTTTCTCTGGACAAATAAGATATGGACACCAAATAATACACGAAACAACACAACGTTTAATGATACAAGAAATTATGCAATCAAAAATACGTAATTTTGTAAGTACAATTATTATTACTCAAGTGGGAAGTTAGTGTGATGTTTGGCGCTGCATTTCATCGGCCAGTTTTTCAAATTTGGGAGTGTAGGATGATGTTGCTGCTCGCAAACAATCGTCAAGGTGGGCGTCAGTAAATCAAGATCTGTGCTTTGATTTTATAATGTTCATGGTTGAATGGCCTTCATTATTCAGTATAACCTCTTTCCGTAACAACGTGGGCACCAAAATAAAGCCTTGGCGGGCGCCATGGTGCCCACAGGCACCGTGTTGGGGACAACTGCCATAGAATATCACCCTGATACTGGATGGTATCAATATTTGGATAAACATAAATTTAAAATCATTCATACAAACAAAACTGTTTACAAATTACAGTTTTGTTTGTATGCATAATTTTATATATCAGTACACTGAACGGTATGCAATTTTTTTTAAAAACCCCCCAGAAATTTGTTATTTTTGTCTGTTGGTTTGGCGATTGAAATTTTTATAATTATAAATTACAGATTATTCATGAACACTACACTGAAATGCATGTAATATTTTCACTTTGTAAATGATCAAATAACTTTGTTGAAAGCCACAACTCACATTCCAGCATCAAATTCTACAGTCGTAAATCACACTTAAAATATTCTGTAAGGAACTTGGAAATACTGGATGTAAAGTAAAAACAAATTAACTTTTAACATTTATCATTAGGTTCTAATGGTTCTTGTAACTGTTTTGAGAACATCACATATTTGATGTACTTGATCCACATAGCCAAACATATTACAGTGAACCCTAGATTTAATGGGTTTCAGATTTAATACACGATCTGATCTAGTGGACATTTTCAGTTTTAATGGACTTGATTCATTAATACCCAAAATGGTAATTGTAGCCATAAGTGTAGATCTAAAGCCAAAATCATTCTGAAAGACAGTACATGTACTATTAAAATAAATGTAAAATGTTGTATAATAGAACTTTTAAAACACAATACTATGATGTAAAAAGTAAAGCAGTCCCACTACATGCCATGAAGGCACTTGGAGGGAGAGAGGGTACAGCTCCTGCTCATTCTTAACCTTTGCATTAGATACGGGTAAGTGGTCAACATCATGACCTTGCTGCACTCTACCCCAGGAAAAGACCGTGGTACCCATCAGATAGGAGGCTGGGTGGGCCCCAGAGCTGGCCTTTGATGTATAACTATAAATATAATGTATTTGAATTCACTGTATAGAAATTAAAAGTACATTACTGTACAGTGCATGTATGTATATTTTCATTGTTGTTATTATACAGTAAAATTTCATAACAAACCATGTACAGTGTATTTAATGCATGTAACAGTATAAAACCCCCACTTAATGGTACCTGCACCTTGTCGTGGTGGTGGGGCTTGAGTACCTCAGTGGCGGTAGCATAGCTACTGGTAAGGCCTCCCTAGCCAGATTGGTCGAGGGGGATCGGTCAGCCTAAGACAGGTACCCTGGCCCTCCAGGTTGGGGGTTGGTCGCAAGGCTAACGACCTTGCGCCGTAAAAGGAAGATGTTTCGAAACCTCAATCGAAGCCTCGGACAGACGGACCTAACAGAGGACCGAATGGAAGAGGAGAATTGAGGAGGCCATGGACCAAATACGGACCGGAGAGCCATAGAAGTAGAAGAAGAACAGTATAAAATGTATACAGTGCTGTAAAATACTGTACAAATAAAAAGTCTAAGAAAATAATGTACAGTATGCATTAAAAATAATCTTGTACATATGTAAGCTAAGACTCTCAATAAAAGTTACATATGCATTGCCTCCACTATCATAGATCACAGCAACATAAACTCTTCTATAAACCATTACAGATAAGTAAAGTTAACTTGGATTTCTTTTTTCTTTCTTGCATCTTGTGCAACTAATATTATAATGTAATATTACTGTCATTCAGTATATGATTTCGAGAATTTCTAAAATAATGTCTTCAGAAAGTATGGAATGTTCAAGGTACTTTTCAGGAAAACAGAAAATAGCAACCTAGTGGCTGTGAGATATAGTTTGGTCTGTTGAAAGAAAATTATATATCATCTCAATTTGATATATTTAATTTGTATGATGACATGTTTCATATCTACTGCTCTCATACGAGTGGTATCATGACCAAAAATTCTTCATCTATTGGAATCCTAACAGCAAATGAAATAATCAAAGAAAGGAATAAATCAGAAATAGGGGAAAAACAATAAAATAAATAAATTCATACCAAAAGAAAATATTCTTCCATTAACATAAGCCACAATGTAGAGTATTGTAGTTATCATGTTGTTGCACTATGATGCTTTAGTAATTTTATGAAAAAGTTTTATTTTCAACATGCATAAAATACACTTTTATTTTATATGCTGTGCATTTCATATAATTACCTATTTTAGATATATTCAAATTATCAGCTGCCTCATAGTTATACTTTTAATATAAAAAATACATGCATTAACTTAAACAGTTTTCATAATATATATGAGTATTCTGGTGCACTGTGGATTGGCAGGAAAACAATACAAATGTTAAACCAAGGAAGCTGTTTTTCATTACAAAATTTCTTACTTGCAAGAGACAGGGTGAACACGTGCTCCTGTAGAACAGAACAGTGGCTGTTTGCAAATGCATGAACACTGTGTTGGGTCCCACGTCTTCAGATTCCCACAAGTTAAACCATCTGCTTCATTTTTACACTTACACTGGCAG